TCAGGCGATGACATTTTTTGGCATGTAAACAAATAAAAATGATGAGGTGAGGAACGAAAACCTTCAAAAATTGGATGAGATAAATACTAACTTTCGAAGAGATATGCAGCCGAAATCCGTAAATTATAGATGCTATTTTTTTGTTTGAAAACGTATCCCCCATTATCATACTTTTATTTCTTTCGTGGTTAGATCGTTGTTCTACCAGACTTTACTGTAGAAGTTCGGCAGCCATCATACCAATCTTGAATCCATTAGTAAGGTGAATCTTGGATTTTCTAATGGACCATCTGTACCCATCTTTGTTTATGTTTCTTGTAATTAATTCCCTTCTTTGTGCAAAGATATGTTGAGACTTTGAAGAAGTATTGCAGCAAGGAAGTGATTGAACGGTGCACGACATAGCGCGCAACTTTCCAAAGTCATGTTTTCCCCCTATAACAAGGTAAGGTTTATGTTCTTGGTTCACCCATTGAAGCATCCGGGTTCTCATGAAAACGTGTAAAACCCTGAGCCAATGGCTTCATTTTGTATTGACTGAATCGTTGTGCCTGTGATGCTCAGCTTCTGCATATATGGCCAGTAGTTTCATGATATTGAATTAGTAGTTTCGAACTTTACGTTTTAGATAAAATTCATTATATAAGAAGAGAGTTTATTCTTTGATACGTTGTAGTTTAAAGAAGAAGATAATTCACTATAAGGTTAGTGCTCACATAGTCACATTTCTCCTTTTTACTCACCAAAATCCATTACAATTTAGAAACTAACAAAATCACAAGTCTCTATTTGAGAAGAAGAATGAAAACGTTGACCACACAAATGACAAACCCAAATACCTTGCTTCTTGCATTTTTCTGTCATTACACGCAAGATCAACACAATAAGCATATTACACAAGAAAACAGTTGGATCGCTTTTCATATGTCCCATATTTTATCACTTTTACTATCTATTTTACTATGTTTTTATATGTTTTAATAAAGTTTTTCAACCAAAAGAGGTAGTTTTCTAGTATATGTAGATTTTAAAGTGTTAACAGGTTTTATCATCTAAAGGATGCAAAAAATAAGCAAAAGGAGTGTTATATATGATACATCTACTTATTCAAGTCAAAGAAGCCAACACAAGTCATTACATCTTGAAGATAAAGCTTATTCTCAAGTTGGACATAATGTATACGCCAGAAGTTCACTGATGAACATAGGATCAAATCAACTTGGAATCTGATGAAAATCTGATCAAACATGTATTTTATTTTTCTATTGTTCTTAATGCATATTTGATTCTAAAAACCTTTAAAGGTAGTTCGACTTTGCCTTATTGCAACGAATCGCTTACGCTTTGTAGATCAATGATTTATATTATGTTTATGTGTTTTACTCTTGCTACTACGTGTTGCAAAACATGTTAGAGTATTAGCTTTGATTTGATTTCTATGCACTTTCTAAATTCTATGTCATCGCATATTCAATCGTTTAGTTTTATTCTAGAATTGATTCTTCATCTTTATTTACGCTCAAGGCATGAACTGGTTAGCTACCCAGGCACTGATATTAGGTTGATATTAATAAAACATCAACCACATACCAACAACATGACCTTCAGGAGAGACATTGTCTCTAATGCGTATGCGTTTGTCAGACCAGTGGTCGTCAGTCTTGTCTATTGCCAATGGTGAGCATTTTCTTATTTAGATATCTCTCTATTTCATTGTTCGCAAAAAAATTCACCATTTACTTTGTCATATCTCTGGTTACTAGCTATGGTGATACGACGAGCGAGTCAAACGGTTCTGGGACAATTATTGATGTTGATGGCACAGTATTAACCTTGTGCACATGTTGTTCAGAATATTAATCATCTAAAAAATGGATAACAACCTTCTCAATGATTAAGTTTGAATTTTAGTAATTTACTTTACCTCTTTTTTCCTGTATTACAGGTGAATGTTAAAGTGAAGGATGTTGGAACGTTAAATGGTGTAGTGGTGAAATTTGATATGGTACACGGCATAGCGATTGTAAAGATACAATCTAAGAAGGCATTACCAGCGGCTACACTCGGTGATTCAAAAAAAATTTTGTCCTGGAGAGTTAGTAATTGCTATAGGTTTTCTTTGTTTTCTCCAAAACAGTATTAAGATTGGGATTTTCATATAACTGTAAGCAATTACCTGTAAAAGCAGAAATTTTTTCCATTTGATCATGTCTCATATTGCTCTTGTTTAATCTCTATGTGATAGTTGTATTGATCGCACGAACGTTGAATTGGGTTTACCTATAGAAAGCATACATAAAGTATATCTCCAAACAGATTGCGGCATCATTCCTGAATTGCTTATTTTTTTACTTTATATCCTTGTGTTTTTTTTATGGGACAGAGATACTCAGGTGGACCACTTGTAATAAACATGTGGTTGGTGTCAACTTCTGGAATACAAGGAATGCAGAAGGGCTTGGATTTGGATTTGTTGTGTCAATTGACACAGTCTACCAAATTATTAAGAAATGAGAGTATGTTTAGGTTTTTTTAAAACTTTTTATAAAATTTGTACTACTTTATTATTATTGTAATGGTGCGAGTATTTTTTTTTATCACGAGTTGGTTTTACGTGTAGCAGGTATTTTTTGGATAAAATTATCTAAATTTGTAATATTTTGTATTACAATG